TTTTCTTGCTTCTTGAGGTAGGCCTGTATTGCTATAAACTTCCCTCTTAGAACCACTTTTGCTGCATCCCAAAGATTTTGGACCACTGTGTTTTCATTTTCATAATTTTTTTTTCTTCTTTGATTTCTTGGTTGACACATTGGTGTGTGATTTTTTTTTTTAATGAAGCCTTGATATTCTTAATATAAAAAGACATCTTGTAAGTCAATAACAAAGGGGCAGATGTCCCCATAAGGAGAAGAGCTAAGCCCTGAAGTAGGAAGTGTATTAATACATTTATTAAAAAAATTTTTTTTTAACATTTATTCATTTTTGAGAGAGAGAGAGAGAGAGAGACAGAACATGAGTGGGGGAGGGGCAGAGAGAGAAGGAGACACAGAATCTGAAGCAGGCTCCAGGCTCTGAGCTGTCAGCACAGAGCCCGACGTGGGGCTCAAACTCACAGACTGCAAGATCGTGACCTGAGCCGAAGTCAGACACTTAACTGACTGAGCCATCCAGGTGCCCTGATAAATTTATTTTTCAAATTGAGTATAGTTATATTAGTTTTAGGTATATAACATAATGATTCAACATTTATATATGTTATGAAATGATCACAGTAAGTCTAGATACCATCTGTCATCATACAAAGTTATTACAATATTATTAAGGCTTTTAGGCTTTCACCATTGTGTGTGTTGTTAGCTGTCAGTTTGTCTCTGTGATATCCTTACCTTGTAGATAGCACTGTTCACTGGAATATCATGTGAGCCTTGGATTCAGTTTTAGATTTTCTAAGAGCAACATTAATAATAAGAATCAGAACATTAATTTTAATAATGTATTTTATTTAACGCAGCATATCAAAAATATTTCAATGTAAAATCAGTGTAAAAAATTATTGGGGTGCCTGGGTGGCTCACTCGGTTGAACGTCCAACTTCAGCTCAGGTCATGATCTCACAGCTCATGAGTTCGAGCCCCGCGTCAGGTTCTGTGCTGACAGCTCGGAGCCTGCAGCCTGCTTTGGATTCTGTGCCTCCCTCTCCCTCTGCCCCAACCCACTCGCATTCTGTCTCTCTCTCAAAAATAAATAAATATAAAAAAAATTTTAAAAAAATTATTAGTGAACTATTTTAGTCTTTTTTGTATTAGGTCTTCAAAATCGTATTTGACACTGACAGCACATCTCACGTCTACACTGTCCACATTTCCAGTGCTGGGGAAACACAGAGCTAATGACTATTAGCAGCAGAAGTCCAGCACTTTGTAGGTGATTCATAAATGCACATCCCATAAGCAAACTCTCAAAAAGTAATCTGTTTTTTTCTCAACAGACTACCATGCCTGCGGGAATCCTGCCTCAAAATGAAGAGCCATACTCCACTTTGGTGAATGACAGTCCATATGCTGCCAACATGAAGGGTAAGTTCTTTGATACACTTTTTGACGCTTTGTGCAGAGTAGCGTCTAATGAAACAGTATGAGTAGACATGATGGAAAAGGCTCGAGGCCTCACACTAGAATCCCAAGTGCAGTCACTGCTTATGGCTCTTGTTTACTTCTGCCTCCCTGTTTTGACCTGTTAAAACTCCTTTTCAAAATCTTGAATAAGCGGTCTTTTGAGAAGGAATGTTGAAAACAAAGTTTGCCTCCTGCATTATCCTTAGACTGAAATGACCTCTTCCTCTCATTTCTAGCCTCCTTGTGAGGCAAGCTTTCTCTTCCATCCCTCGCAAGTGTCACTTCGAAGCAGGTGCCCCTGCTCCTCCCAGTTTGTTTCTTCTCCGTTCCATCCCACACATTTGATTTTTCCCATGGTAGCCCTGGGAAGAAGGGTGCTGTGACGGGGACCCTTGCTGCTGTCGCAGCTACTAGGCTGGCGACTGATTTCCTGCCATGAGCCATCAGCCAGACGTCAGGTCATTTTTTTTGGCAAAACCTTTGCATGGTTTTGGTCCTGCCCTGTTCACGTTAGGGCTCCTGTATCGGGCACCTTGAAGGGCTTCCCCCTGCGTCACATGAGGTAACGTACAGAAAGTAGAGAGGCAGGGGTCTGAAGGTATTGGAGTCCCGAACTTGCCGGGAATAATGGGCTCTGTTGACTGTTCTCTCGTAGGACTCTGACCACCCCACCAGGGGGAGCCCTCTGTCATCAGGAAACCAGTGTCTCCCTCCTCTTACTTGTCAGAATTCCGCTCTTTGTAGTCCCTCCTGCGTCTGTCTGCTCCTGTCTGACTCAGTAGGGACCGGCCTATTGGTCACCACCGTTTGTGGACAGCGTCTGAGAGCTAACTCACTGTTCGTTTCCCTGCTTGAGAAAGAAGCGCTAATACAAGGGCGGCAGCGGTGCCTCCCTGCTGCTTCCTTTGTACGGCATGTTTTTTGCCTAAAGGACGCCCCAGCTAACAACCCCGAGTCAGACCTTTTTCCCTCTCCCTTCTTCTGTCGAAATGTCCCCTCTTAGCTGGTGTTTCCCATCAGGGATTTTCTTGGCTTCTGAGATGGGCAAGTCTTCGTCGTACAGGAGAGCCAGGTGACGCATCCCTGACCGAGTCCCATGATGTCCCCAGACTGCGGTGACAGCCAGAAAACCTGATGTGTTTTCAGATGCCCCGGGGGAGGTCGTCATACCCATGTTGTGATCCTCTAGAGAAGCTGGTTTTACCTCTCCTAAAGCCATCTCTTTAATTGAAAATCTCCTCGTGTATAAAATGTAGCTAATTTTTAATTAGGAAAAAGTCTGGAGAAATAAGAAACTTACTTTATATCTAACTTTTTTAGAGTGAGTCTCATCTCTAAAGGTAGTTCTACCTACTGGGTTAACATTGGGCTAGGAAGCATTTTTTTTTTAATGTTGGCTAATGAACCATAAGGAAATTTAATTAGGGGGTCAGTAGTAAAGTATTTAAATTATTTTTAAAGGAAAATAGAAAGAAAACTCAACAAGAACTAGCTATAGAATGAGACAAACAGATTTAAATATTCTAATTTTTGGAAAAAAATTTGTGGGGAAATTTCAAACATTCACAAAAGTATATAGAATACTACAAAGATCTCTGTGGAGGTACCACTGCCTGTATGGGTGCCAGTGGAGACCCCACCCCCAGGGAGGTCCCCTTCCCCGAGAGGTACCGTCCCCCATCTTTAACAATTTCGGCTCACTCACTTCCTCTACTCCTTTCCCTGCTTCCACATTACTTCATTTCATTCCTTAACCATATCGCCATCACCATAACTAGAAAAATTTAACACCGGTCACCTAATATCCTCAATACCTGAACATCGTTCAGATTTCTGGCTGTCTCATAGACGTATGTATGTTTGTTTGCATCGGGATCCAACAGAATCCATATTGCATAATTGGTTGATATGTATCTTACATCTGTTTTACATGTGGATTTTTCTCTCTCTTTCCTTACAATTTATTTTTGAAGAAACCAGGTTTTTTGCCCTATGGAGTTTGCCACAATCTGTATTTTTCTGATTTTATTCCCACATTATTTCCTGTAAACTGGATTAGTGGAGGGATGTAGAGCCTAATCAAGTTTTTTTTTTAATTTACAACCGTGTTTCATGGATGGCACTATATTCTTCCATCAGAATGCCTGTGATGTCTAGTTGTCTCTCGTGATGTTAGTTCTTTCATTTTGCAAGAATTTCAGACTCGTAGAAAAGCATTAAAAAATCCCTAAATGCTGTTCACCCAGAGACCCCCCCTCTCAAGTTTGGTCAGCTGTGCCAGTAACATCCTTTAACAGCAAAAGGATACTTGTCATGTTTTTCCAGTTTCTTTCTGTGACCACAGTCCTGCCTTGATGTCTGTGAAACTTACAGGCCAGGTACTTTGCAGCATATTCCTCACTGGGGGTTTGTCTGCCGTTTCATCGTAACACCGTTGAGGTTTTGCGTTTCTGGCAGGAACATCACAGAAATGACTTCATTCTCTTCTCACGGCATCCCATCAAGTGACCCAGAACGCCATCTTGCCACATCCCTGGGGTGCTCAGTTTGGTCCCATCAGTGCAGTGGTGTCTGCGGGCTGTATCCACTGTAAGTCGTTCCTTCTCCCTTCGACTTCGTACTTGGTGGAGAGGCGCTGGGAGGCTGTGGGCACCTGGTCTTCACCCAGCTCTCTCCCAGCCCCGCGGCATCCGCTGGCGTCTCTTGCCTGAATTAAGCATTGTGGTGACAGATGACGGAGGGGAGGCTTCCTGACCCCATCACTGCTCCTGCATTTCTTAGCCGGCATTCTCTAGGAGCAGTTCCCCTTCCCCTTGGTTCATTCAGTTATTCTCCGTTCCGGCGTAGATCCTCATCTGTGCAGGGAGCGTACTCTTTCACTGTCCTTTGTTTTCGCACTCCGCTGTCCCCCATTGGGCCAGAAGAGCCTCTCTAGCCTGTAGCTGTGTCATCTGGACACGTCCCTGCTCCCTGCTCCCTGCCTCCTAGCCCAGCAAGGTCTTTGGTGTCCTCTTGTACCTTTCCCGGTCCAGCCCTGAAGTCACCCGTTTCTGCCAGGAGCTCTGGTTCCTTCCAGGGCGGAGTGGTGTTGGGAAACCCAAAATGTGTCCCCAAGCTCCCTGCAAGACAAAGCCAGGAAGTGTATGTTATAAGTGTGCATAGATATCTACCCGCTTTTATACACATATTTGTTTTTATATATTGAAAACTATGAGTTCATATTGGTACTTGCTGTTGTCTCAGCCATCACTGTACCATCGTTCTAGCTTTTCCCCTTACTGAGTTTATAATTCCCTTCTCCAAGAATGAGGAACCTTGCTCTTATTTAGTGAGTCCTCCTTTTCATGACCCGTCTCCCAGCCCCGCCCTGCCATCACTTGCCTCAGCTCGCTCTTCCACACAGGGCCTGAGCCCTGCTGGCTCGAGTGCCACAGACTCTGCTACAGCTGACCCTTGAGCAGGCGGGTTTGGACCCTGACCACCAGCACAGATGAAAATCCACATATAACTTTTGACTCCTTGAAAACTTAACCACTAATAGCCTCCTGTTGACTGGGAGCCTCACCAACACCATTGATTAACACAGATCTTGTGTGTTATATATTGTATTTTTACAATAAAGTAGCTAGAGAAAAGAAGACGTTATTAAGAAAATCCTAGGGAAGAGAAACTACATTTACAGTACTATATGGTATTTATCCAAAGACATCTGCTTATATGTAGACATATGGAGTTGAAACCCATGTTGTTCAAGGGTCACCTGTGGTTGCCTTCCTTCTGTGGGGCCTGACCTTTGCTAAGTAGGCCTGCTTTGTGGCTGTTCTTATCTTGATTATGTGTACACTTTTAATTAAAATATTGAGATAATTATACAGTCAGTCACATGCAGTTGTAAGTCATATACCCTTTACTCCGTTTCTATCAGTAGTAACATCTTGCGCATCCGTAGTTCAGTGTCCTGGCGAGGATGTCAACATTGTTGCAGTCGAGATACAGGATGGCACTGTCACTGTAAGGATCCCCCCTGTTGCCTTTTGTAGCCAGACCCACTTCCTCCCATGAGCCTGGCCCGTGACAAGTACTCATCTGTTCCCACTTCTATGATTTTGTCATTTCAGGAATTGTATATAAGTGAAATCACACAGCATGTAGCCATTTGAGTCAGCTTTTTCCACTTGGTGTCATTCTGTTGGTGTTGTGTATCCATGGTGTACTTGTTCTTAATGCCAAGTGGCCTTGCCTGGTAGGGGTGCACCACGGGGTGTTTATCCTTTCACTCCCCCAAAGGATGACCAGGTGCTTTCCGTTTGGGGCTCTTGTGAACACACATGAGCAGCTTTATGTGTGAGCGGGAGTTTTCCTTGCTCTGGGGTCAGGGGTCAGGAAGGAACTTCCTAGTTCACACAGTAGTCGTATGTTCAGTTTTACAGGAAACTGCCAAAGTGTTAACCAAAATAGCTGTGCCATTTTGTGTCCCCCAGCAGTGGGCGAGTGATCAGCTTTCTCTGCTGTTTCACTGTCCCAGCAGGTGCGTGCTAGTGTCTTATTGTGGTTGCTCAGCTCACTCACTAGGTCTAGGAGGCTTTTGGAGATTCTTTGCGATTTTGTGTGCAAACAATCACATCAGCAAATAAGAGCAGTTTTATTTCTTTCCTTTGCAATCTGTATGCCAGTATTTCTCTTCTTGCCTTACGGTAGTGGCCTAGCACGTCTGCTGAGCAGAGAGAGTTCGGAGGGCCACTGGCCTTGCCTTCCTCCTCCCTCAGGGAGAAGACCGTGTTTCACCTTTCAACATGATGCTTACAGATTCTGACAGGTTCTCTACAACAAGGTGAACCAGTTGCCCTCTGTTGTTAACTCACTGAGATTTTTTTGGTCATGAATGGCTGCTGGAATTTGTAGAATGCTTTTTCTGTGTCATTTGATAGAATTATTTTTTCTTTAGCTTATTGATATGGTAG